CCTTTGCTCTCTATTAGCGTTCCTAATAGAAGCCAGCTTGGGATCCACAACCGTAAGGTACCGCGTGCATTGCTTTATTTCGCCGTCGCCTCGCGAAATGAGAGGGCGACCGGTGTAGCTACTGCAGGTCTGTCACCGGCGAGAGCCACCTTTCCGCGTCACCGCCTGGGAATAGCCGGGTTGGGCGGCGCGCCGCACGAGTGACAGAGCTACTGGATGTCCTCGCGGATGGGCTGCGCGCGGGAGGCCGATGCGGCGTTGCGTCATCCCCCTAAACTTCCCCCGCACCTGCGCGAGTCTCGGTCCTTGCGTGGGCATGTGGTGCGGCGCTCTTCGTCTAGCCGAGAAGAAAGCCTTCTGCCACTGCCACCGCCACCGCTTCTGCACCGCGCCCGCGCCGCACCCGTTTCCGCCCCACGATGAGTCATCGGAATTGCAACCTTCCGTAACTGAATATTATTTGTTCTACGCGGTTTGTAGGTAACTGTTTCAACATGGTGTTGTATGGCATTTTTTCGGTGCTGGAACACTCGCTCCATAAATACCATTTTTTTCGCACGTAAGTTTGCCAAATAAATATATCGTCTTAAGAATGCAGAAAAATGAGGTTATAAATGTATGGCCTTTCATCCCTTAAATAGTAACTGTAACACATGCTTCCCGGCTGTAACGTAGTTGAATGTACCATTTTATTGACCGTACCGATAATGTAACATAACAGTTGCAGGTGCAGGTATGCTGTCGTGGCTCAGTGGTAAAGTCGCTTGTCTTTCACCACTGATGTTCCGGGTTCGATTAGAATCCTCGTAGAACATCATGTGAAATTTGTTTCGACAAAACGAGTTTGCATTCTTCACGGGGGCTCGTCCAACCCCTGTGAAGTCTCCTAAACCCTACCCCAATCCTAATTCCTTCCCAATTCTGGTGGCTGAAACGCAAGGGGGCATAGTAGGAGGCGCGTACGCGGAGATGCTACTCGGCAGTCCTCTTGACAACTGACGGATATGGCATTGAAATATTAATGGAGGATTATTCCGAAAGCGCAAAGCGCTCAACGGCTTCCGGGGTTTGGAGACGCTTTCATTTTTTAAAAAGTTTTACATGATATTTTTTTAGGAACTCGTTATCTCTGTTTTCATTTAACAAAAGATCAGCGTTGTAGTTGCAGAGACGCCGAAAAAAATGCCCTTTTGCAAATTCCGAAAATGAGACTTACGCTATCGTCAGCGCACGTCCACATTATTATGTCAAATAATGACACAAACCCTCGATAACACAAATGTTTGCTCCTTTTCTGGATGTGCTGTCTTATATTATTTGGGCAGAAATTGAAGTAACAGACAAGTTGTTCGCGATATGACTCATTTGTCTGTTGTCTCGCATCTGTTAAGATGTTCATTGTAAAATCAAATTACGTAATTTAATGCTCACTATTCAATTCGTTTACAATGTAATGTCACGTTATCCAATTCCGTTCATCCTTCCAGCAGTCCTCACAAAGTCACCCGGAAGGTACCAAATAGCGGAAAGTGAAATAGCTTCAATAAGTTTATTTGGTTTATTTGTACGTATATGTTGGATAATAGTTTGCAGAAGTCTCTTCCTTGCAGGTTTACCAAAATTTGTCAGTCTGTTTGTCGGTATCAGACTCAACAAAACTAGTATATTTTTCAAAATCTCTACTCGTGATTTTGTACCATTATTTTGAAAATGTCGAGCTTCAAGTACGGTGCCCCAAAATGAAAATATCAGTTTAAGGGCAGAAAAGTTGGCCGAATCAATCGAACAGTATTCAATTTCGAGGAAACTGTGCACGGTTTAGGCACTAGGTTGACGTTTAAAAAAATGAAATAAAATATACTTCCTCTGTATCAGGCTCGTCAAAACTAGTATTTTCGTCAAAATTTCTACGTCGATCTTTTGCCCCATTATATTGCGTTATGCTACGTATATAAGTAGTATACCAGAAAGTAAACAAATCTCCGTTGTGGTAATTTGGTCATTGTGTGCCTATATTATACCGCTCACTAACCTGCCCTAGTGCTCTCCAGCCACATCAATTCTGGGAATTCCTGAGGATATCTTGTGTTGAAAGCTTTCCTTATCGGGAGGTACCTTGAAAGAGTTTTCTCGTTAAGGCAGATCGGCTAGAAGATAACCCAAGGTACGCGATGAGTCACGTACATTATGGTTCAGGAAGACTGGGCGTAGATTTTTTTCTTTCTCGCATACTTCATATACAGAATAGAGAAAGTATTGTAATGTTGCAACAAAAAACCGATTTTTCGATAGAAAAAATTATGGAGCCTTTTTACTGAAAAAGTGTTCCCAAATGTACAAAAACAACTTCTATCGCGTTGTATGTCAGTTTACAGAAAAGTAAGTTTTCAAATTAGTGTACAGAAAATCGCTTATCTTGGAGCATAAGCAAAGCAAAGATAAGATTCGATGCGAAGGAATTTCACGATAAGAAAAACCAGAATTGGTGCTTAATGCAGTATTTATCAAACCAAAGAATCTTTTAAAACAAAATTACAATGTTACCGTTTCATTTCTTTCAACGATTTCCGTGAAATAAAAGTGTTAATTACAGTATTTTAAAGGCAGCAATCTTAAGACTCAAAATGTTGAGCGAGTCCACCGCATTTCTTCAATTTTTGAAAATTTAAAAGCATACATGAAAATAGCACTTACGCAAATGAATTCAGTGCATTGTTGTCTGAAAGTGCACGCTAAGTCTTATCTAAGGAGGACTCTTGAACCAAACGCTTGTCCCATTACTTCAGCAATTCATAGCAAGATTTTCCACTTGTCTTGTGTAAGTAAGGCATGCTCGAAAACTGCAATACTTCAAAGTGTATTGCCACAAATAGGTTAGTTATTGCGCTGTAGTATCTTGACGTTAGTATTTATATGGTATCATATTACATGCAATCCGGATCCAAATTAACCAGTTATCAAAACCTTCAACGTCTTGCGATATTGGAATGGATTAGACATTTGTTGCAAATTAATGAAAGTGAAAGCTTGCGACACGAGAGCGCTGATTCGACAGTGCAGCGGTGTTCTTTTACGCTCCAATGTGTGATGAAAGTGCTGTGCAACTCCATGTTTAGCGCTCAGCAAGTGGAGCAAAGGAATTAATCGCTGTTGCTCGCCGACAGTGCCAACTGTCTGAGCTCTTTGTATGGAATTTGAAACGAACAATTCCATAAAGAGAAATCAGTATTTTTTGTTGTGAAAGGCCCGCTTTCGAGATTAGGACATTGTCAAGATTAGGGAGTGAATTTTGGTGACATAAGACATTGTCAAAAATGATCAATGAAGTGCCCTTAAAATGTTTTTAAAATGCCCTGTAAGCAGAAGACAAAGGCGTGAAAAATTAGATAAACAACACTTCAATTGAAAAACTAAAGTGTTGGATATGTTAGTGATGTAATTCAGGCTTGTTTCTATTGTTAAAGTAAACTCTGCTTGCAAACTTTTGGTTTGGACTGTTTTTGTTTTTTTACCAGGAAATCTGTCTTTAATTATCTTGCAATCGGGCAAACTGACAATGGCGCTGATATGCTTCAAAGGGACCTGAGATTACATACCCATAGTGGCTGACATTACAATTTCTGAGCGAAGAAATCGAAACGGATACTCAGGAATTCTGTGGAGAATATTTGTTGCATAAAATAGTTTGAAGCTATATATTGTTTGAAGCATAATATTGTTTGAAGATATTAAAATCGACGAAATCATGAAAAATGCTTTAAAATGGCCGAAGGTAAAAAGACTTAGTTTTGATCGACGAAAACTACGAAAAGGCATATAAAAATTAGCGATTTCCTTTCATCATTACGTAAAATTAATGTAGATACTTAGACATTGTTCTAAAGAGAAAATCCGCCCATATTCTTATTATTAATGCACGCAAATGTTAATGAAATTGGGATATAAAACTATGGGTGAATTTAAAATATGATTTTCCAATTATGGGTAATTGAACTAAAGTGAGTTTGTCGCATAATTGAGTGCACTCTTTAACTATATGGGTGAGCGTGGGCATGTGCGAGCGCGACTTCCAGAGGCAGCAGGTGGCTGCTAAAAATAGCCCATGCCCCGCGCATCTGGTGCATACCGTTCGCGCCCGTCTCCGTGACTACCACGGGACTGCTGTCAGAACAGGGAGCTTTCTTTCCGAAACGTGCGGAGCTGCTTTTAAAACAGGAAATGCGAATTGCTACTCCCAAAACGTCGTCTGTGGTCAATGCTAGCGCCTAAACAGTTTAGTTGATTTTCTTCGAAATTGATATTCCCTGGTTGATCTGACCGGACTACAGGCTTTGGGAGTTAATAACGCATATCTTCATGGTTGAAGTTTTTCTTAATGAATAGGGCATTCACCTTTTTATGCCTTTGCCCGAGTCGACCCATGTGGCGCTTCTGTGGCGTAGTGGTACGAGTGTCTGCACGTTAACTCGGAGTATTTGAGTTCGAGTGTCGGAGCGGAAAAATTATTTTCTGCTTGAAAACTGTTTTGCCGGTTTATGTGGTATAATATTGCAGAGCATTTAGAAACAATGCGAGAAAGTATGTGGTTTTCAATAGCCCCACTAGTTATACATGTAGATTATATATGTATCCTTTTTTTTTATTATGAATAAAATAGTTCAAAATAAGTTCACAAATGTATGTTCTTGTATGAAATATCTTCAAAATTATTGGAGGCCTTTATCCAGCCCTTGGGAGGAGCTTGGTCTGCTTATGCTTTTCTTCAGTTTTCTTGTAACTGACATGAATGGCTTATTTTAATTTTTGTACCACCTAATATATGTTGAAATATATGCCCATTTCATAGGTTAGCATTGATCTTTATTTCTTATTCTAAACTAGCATTTTTAATTAAATATTTAGTGACATATTTTCCCCTAAAAAGTTTTAAATTTGTTTCTTTGTTCTACTTTGAGATATTTTTTAAAAATATTTCCATGATGGTCTTGTATTTTTTGCAGGTGAGAAATTGACAGATGAAGAAGTGGAACAGTTATTGTCTGGGCAAGAAGATTCCCAAGGAAATGTAAATTATGAAGAATTTGTGAAAATGGTTATGTGTGGTTGAAGTAATAAAGTTGATCCTGGTCAATCAGCTTTTCTATCCAAGCATAACTTCTGTGTGTATATATAAATATTCCCTAACAACTTTAGGTTTTGTACATTTTGTTTTATTGTGTACAAGAGCTAGATGTCAAAATTACTTTGCTACCAAAAAACAAAAAAAAAAAAAAAAACATTTTGTTATTCAAAGAACTCTTCTGCTATTTTTCCTAATTATCGTTGCTTACTTTGCTTCATGTAAGAAATTTATATAAATTAGCATTTTAAGGGTTCTGTATGGTGAAGGAAAGGTCTTAATTATATCATAAGTATTTTGAATATCTGTATTGTCCTTTGTTTCAATACTGCAAAAGGTTCTGAGATAATAAGTTTTACATGTGTAATCACAAAAAAGGGTATTCAGAGGAACCTGAATTTAATATTAATTGTGGCCTTAACGTAAATGTTTTAATTAGAGATTTTTTTGTGAGGTAGTGCAGCAAGAATTATCTATAACATATATATTTGGGTTACATTTACTGTATTTAGTTTGTTCTGAAAATTCAGGTGACATTCATTTTCAGATACAGTGATTTGTAGCACACTTAAAGTTAGTGTATCATCACAAAAATATTGCCTTTTAATGGAAGTGTGTTCAACATCACATTCACATATTTCTAAGGAATGTCAAATTGTCAATGTTCTATTCATTAGGAATCTGTATTTCTTTTGCCTCTGTTACATATGCATTCAAGTTTATTTCATAATCCCTAAATATTGCTCTTGGCAGAATTCAACATAACATAACAAGTATTGTTTCTTTTTTAGCCTGTAGTATTTTAGTTGTTAGGGAATGCTCATTCCAAACTGAGCTGTTATAAATGGTTTTAAAACATTCCTGCCATGTATTTTGTATCTAATAGCAATCCTTTATGATGTAATCTGTTTTATTTAAATATTACAAGGAATATTACTTTTTCATTCATTTTTAGAAAGAAATACAAGAATGCTTCTAATAAATTACGTATTATGTTTCATCATGTGTGTTAATAGTTCCATTCCTCGCCTTTTGCTATCCTTTGATCTAATTCCTGGTCATTTGAATTGCTTTTAAAGGCAGGTTCCATGCATTTTACTCTGACTGTAAATCTGCCATTGGTTGGTAATCAGTGAGATATTAAAAAAATAAAATCTTTCATTTTCTGAAACATCTATAAAGTGCAAAAATGTAGTTTTTATGTGATTTTATCCAAGTGAGATTTTACGCATACTATTTTACGCACCAGATTTTACGCATGCTTGAAGCAGGTCTTTTCTCAAGACATTTGAAAAACTGACTCACCGTGAAATGTTTTTTCATAGTGATGACATATTGCTAGACTTCACAGGAAGATGGTGCTTTGTTTCATTTACCTTCAAGTCGAGAGATGAAACAAGGTTTCGTAATATAACTACAAATATAGGAAACATTGTTTATAATGCTTGACCTAGTGATCACAGAAAACAAAAATCCATTGTTTGTGCAAAATATCATTTATTTATTAATGGTGCTCTAATAAGCACTTGTACAATCTTACAATGCTATAATTCAGTTTGGCAGAGACAAAAAATTATAGTAAAAAAAAAAAATTAGAATGGCTGCATCTACTGAAGAAATAAAATTCGGAAATTAGTGGAAAAAAAAGCAAATTTGAGTTGGCCAGAAATACATGTCCTCAAATTAAGATTCAGGGTGTTAATGAGTTATGACCAGTAGTAAGAGTACTCAAGGTTAAACGAGGAAAGATATTCAGAAATTAGATTATTTTTCTTCTTTACTCATTTAGTTACCGCATTTTCTCAAGTACAAGCCTCCCCCCCCCCTTTTATTTTCACAAATTCTCTATATGAAATGGAGGGGATACTAATAAGGAAGTGTAACAAAATTTATAATTTTTCAATAATACCTCGGCTGCAATTTTCTTAGAATTTGCTGAGAAAGGAAATTGTAAATTAGCTGTTTTTGAACCTTACTATGTGAAGACCAGTTTACCAAAAGTTACTAAGTTTCCTGAAATGTTCATCCAAAAATCTGAGGGTGCTGTTATGAGAAAATACAGTGTTTATGTAATTAAAAATTTAGGAAATTAACTATTTGGAACTACTTTATTAGTATTACCTACTTTTGGTGGTAACTTACGAAATACTTCAGTTATTAATGTCTTCAGGCCGATGTAGAGCAAATGACGGACAAGAGTAAAGTTTGTTAACATAGGCCATATTATGAGGAATAATGTGCATAAAGGTTTTATATTTTTATAATTTTTATAATACACATTTTCACATTAGGCCAACAGTTAATTTTCAAAACAATCGTGTTCCTACACTTGTATCTATCTGCCAAATTTCGAGATAGGACACGAAAAAATAATAGTTTTAAAAATTGCTCATTGGCCAGTGAATCGCAATTCGTTTCTTGGGGGGTGGGGGGCTTGCTCAGTTGGGTCGACGATAGCTCCGATGAGTGATTTATGGTTTGATTACACGACTGGTGTACTTTACGATCTTCTCCACTTAATGCCAACTCCTCTGTAAATGCCAATCCAACAATTAAAACCGCAACTTCTTATGAAACACCACCGCGTTTGTTGCGCCCAATTCACATCCTCCCCTTCACTGGGAATTTGTCATCGAGTCCACGATATACGATGCGTTCCTCAACCCGATCACGAAGGTTTCCGCTTGCCCGTTCGCCAAAGGCGCTACCTGCTCCGAACTCATACTACACCTCCCCTCCCCACGAGAAGTGACACTTCCAGCGATAACTCCCGTCGAAGCTGAGATAAGAGATCTGAGCACTCGCGCTTGTTTGAAGTCAGTTGGGCTGGCATTTATTTCAGAGCGAGGCGCAAGTTAACGCATTGACCAATGAGATAAATAACTTGACTCCAATATTAGAACTTATTACCATGAAGCAGTGAACTTGATATTTTTTCCAATAAATAAATATAGTATATAATTCTTGAACGGCGTGTTTTTAATATTTTGATGCCCCCAGCGGCCACCGGGTTCGCCCATGCGTTTAAACGGCAATCTGTAGAACACGTAAGAGAATCCAAAGGTTTTTTTCTTAGAGTTTTTAAATTGTGTTAAGGAAGAAATTTTAAAAAAAGTAAAAAAAAATATTTAAAAATTGTAATAAACTTAATAAATACATCGAATGAAAGAGCATATTTTGTTTTTTAATTTCGCAACATATTAAATTACTGTATCAGCTGCTCACTCCAGACGTCGTATTACTGCTCACTCCAGACGTCGAGCCGAGCGGACGTGTTTGCTACCTGCTGCAGGATGGTCTCGACAGAACAGTGCCTTTAAGCCATACAATACCTACATCGCTTTCGCGTTCCTAATCTTTCGATTTCTGTTTTCAACCCCCAATGGTCCTCTTTCATCGCATAAAGCCGCGGAAAAGAGACCACCAAGGTACGGCTCAGAAAAAACCCCTGAAGGGGAAAACTTGCCGTCAGATAGCCCGCAGTAAATTCTATCTATCCGACCCATTTTATTTTAGCTATTTAATTTTCTTGGCGCTGGGCGTCCCGCCGTCTCCTTTCCAGTGCTTGGGCCCTCCTCAGCACTGAAATCAACGGCGCCACCACGAAGATCGTCCGCACCAACGGCCTCTGCCTTACATTTTTCGATCTCGCCCTTTTCCCTTCACCCCCAATGTGCTTATTATATGCCATGTTTTTATTTTATTTATTGTAACTTGGCCAGTTATTACCAATTGACCTACGACTTATGGACTTTTTCTGGTTTACTGACTGGTTTACTAAACTTAACAATAAAAATTACGTAACTATATTGTTAGCTTATTGACTTTATTATTTCTCTCCAGTCTAGGCTCCGCTCAAGCTAACCAGTGCGTGTTTTTATCACTCCCAATTTCAGTTCTCCTAATGGTCCGGACGCTTTCTAAAAAAATGTTCTAATTCTTTTCTAAAAATTTAGAATCTTTTATCACTAAAATGTTTGGGCGAGCGTTACGTTTCCTGTTTAGGAAAGTAGTAATTTTCCCATTTCCCATCCATTTTTTTTGCTCATGTTTCGGTTGCAGCAGCAATTAAGAGGATGTGGATCCAGTCTTCCTTATCACCGCAAACACACAGAGTGCCCAGTGTTACCACTTGCATCCTTTAGTCTTACGGCTGCATCACCCGCCAACCCTGAACCAAGCGTACTCCCCTCTTGCGTCCTTTCGAGAGTATGTAAGTAATTTCGGCAACCCCACAATGGACTCGCATGGTTGAGCTACCAGCGAAACGTTTTTCAGCCGTTGGCTGCCCAGAATCTTTGCCTCTTTAATATCGCCAAGTCTATCGGGCAATCAGACCTTTTCTATCTCACGGGTTCCCCTATCTCTTCCCACCATTTTCCGAGGAGACGTCTCCCCAAACCCTGCAAAGGTCAATAGCCGTTTAAATTTTGTGCGCCCAGTAGCGATTGGTCCCGCTTTCCCTGCCATTGCGCTCAAAGCACCTATGTATAAGCTGTGTTAGCCTGTTTTCATCCTGCTAACTTAATCCAGAGTTTAATAGGTTTCATTTCAAATCTTTCCAAATTCCTATACTAACCGGACCTCTTCTAAGACTCCGCATTTGGCTGCGCACCTAGACACCCTAGATTATTTGCAAATTAATCTGTTTCGAATGCTTTTCTTAATCGAGCTATCCTATCGCACTCCCCAGATTTCTGCTCCATAGTTCATAGCTGGGAGAACTAACCGATTTGAAACATTAGTATGCGCAATACTCTTTTACCCGGCAATTCCGGAAACCCTGCGCACTGCGCAAACGATTTCTTTTGCAGCGCAATTTCTTCTTTGCTGGTGAGCCGTCATATATTTTATTCCATCCCCCTTCATGGAAAATTTGCCCCAGATATTGGTAAAATGTTTTTGACGCGAGTCAATTTCTTCCCTTAGCGTAGTACCATTTCTCTTTGCTACCCCAAATAAAACCCATTCTTGAAACTTACTACTTTCGTTTTTGAATAATTACTTTTCAGTCCCCATGTAATCAACTATACCGTTCTAGAATAATTTAAACTCTTCTTACAGCCCTCAATCGTCTCTCGCAGCACAAAACTAAACTCATCCGCATATAGTAAGTCGCGGGATTTTTATGGCCATCATTAACCGGACGCCGCCTGTATCCGCTTTCCTGTACGCCACGTCCAATAATCGATTTTATAACAAGATAAACAGCAGCGGTGAAAGAGGAGCCCTGTCCTTACTCTACTGTCGATGTTATTTTTTGCGTCGTACTTCGCCTCACCCGCACCTAAGCGCAGAAATTTACTTCCCTATACATGCTCTGCAAACCTTTTAAAACTTTACGTGAGGACGCCCTAGCTCATTTAATTTTTGCCATTAAAGGCTTCCCTATGATAGAGTCACAAGCGCTTTGCAAATCACAAACTGCAATATTAAGGGGCACCCGTTTTACGCCGCAAAGCGCTGTTTTACTAGGGTATCTAACACAACAATATTGTGTTGCGCGAAGCCCTCTAAATCCTGCTTGTAATATCTGGATTATTGTCTACGTTTTCCGCCCATTCACTCAGTCCGCCCGCTTGAGGGTATTTTACAGAACAGTTTGCTCAGCACGCTGGCAAAATGACTAATCCCGCGATAATTTTGTGGGCAAATTCGCGATCTCCTTTATTCTTAAAAAATTGGTGGAGCGATAGCTGTACTCCCACGTTTCTGGATACGAGCCGGATCATGCCATTGCATTAAACAACTTCATATACTGCTCTGGATCTATTTGCCACAATTCCGAAAAATTTTGTCGAAATGCCGTCCGCGCCGCGCTGCCTTTCTTATTAATTCATGGTAGAATAGCCCTATTTAACTTCTTCCAGGTAGAGTTCGTTCTAAATTCAGGCACACTCGGTCCAGTGAAAATAACTTGCCCCTGTTTCAATGGTCCCTCTGGCGAAACGTCCGCTGAAAATACTGCACCCCACGCGTCTCTGCTTGAATTGCATTACGTTGGAATTTATTTTTATTACGCAGCGATTCTGATAACGTCCCAAATTGATTTACTATAATCGTTTCTTAGAATTGCCTGTAATTCTGCTGCTGCCTCACTATCCTGCACGGATTTCTTTCGGATTTCTTTAATTGTGGCCTCATACTGGCCCTTACGTAATAACAAATAAACTGGTTT